TAAATATATTTTCCGCACCTGGCACATGGTCGTTTTGAGAAGGAACGCCAGTGCACGTAATGTGCTCTTCATTGCGTCCTTTTCGTAAAGGACTTCTCAAGAACATGAATATCAAGGACCATGAGTCGGAGGCCCATAAACATGCGTACTAAACAATCTCCGATCCTCGGAGGAGAGGTCGTGCATTGGGTCGTTCCGTGAAGCTACGCCATTGCGTTTAGTGTACGCTTCGCCGCGAGCTGTCCGTCAGGTGACAGCCCGAGCACAGGAAGATCAAGTGCAGTCCATTATGTACTCTGCCTTAATCCACCACAGTACCATTCACGTACGAAGGTAGCTTTTACTCCACTTGGCAGGCGAAAAACGGCAATCGCCTTCCTATTCGTTAACGGTCGCGGCAGTCAAACGTCATCAGCAAGTCGAACAACCACGCGACCGTTAGTGCGTTGGGCGTCTTACTGAAGCGGCCGGGGTTGAGTGCCTGCCTGTCTGCGCTATATGTATACAATTGAAATGGAAGGAGCAGACATAAATAGTATGAAAGTTAGTATACGATGAACTCGTGTGAGATATTAAGTATTCCGGACAAAGGGCGCAAGTATATCTTCGGCTTGTGGCATCATATCCCGATAAAATTGCCCTAACTGAGCAAAGATAACGCACTCATTATGCTGCTTTTGTCTACTAAGAAAGATCCAGTACACTAAAATAGTTCTCCAATATCATAATAGACCGTGATCAGGTCTTATAGCGCTTGCTTGGCATGATGCCTGTGAGTGTCAAGCAAGCAAACCATAGCATTGCATAGGCTTTCAGATAAGTTTGGTGATCGTGAGAAAGAATTCTTTCCGTGCATGTTTTACATTCAGGGAGTCTTATAAAACCAAAATCAGACTGCAACTGCCGTAATACTGACCTTTGAGGATGTTAAACTGGAACAGCCGCAGCAAAGCGGCTGGTGGCCCTCTACTTCGGCTTCTAGTCCTTTCAGCAATATGTAATGTAAATCATGACGAAAGGAGAAGTATGACTTATTGAACATAAGGCAATGGAGGAAAAGAAAGACTGAGTAAAAGAGAGAGGGCGGACAAAGGGGGGAGGAGGTGGGAGGGGAGAAAGGCAAGTCGGGAGCCACACCTGAGCTGCTCATGCATTGAAAGTCTTATTCTTATATCACTCTTTGGAGTTTTGTGGAGGGAAGGCCTCCTCAAGAAGAAGGATACGCGCCAAAAGAATGAAGGGAAAGAACAAGGACGACGGGTAAAGAGGGGAAAAGCAACTATAAGACGAAAAAGAAAAAATGATAACAAGGACGTATCCTACCATACCTGTTGTTCGAGGACGAGCTAATACGTCGCATTACTTTCGAGTATGATGCATCTTAACGGCTTTAATTCCTGTTTTCTGCTCCGTTCACATTCTCTACGTACTATTGACCCTGACCCTAAAATATTCATCATCTGCATTCACTCTACACTCACATTCATGTTACCGTGGCCCTTCTACCACGCACACTTATAGTCAAACTCATACTCTCCC